TTGGAAACTACTTCAGATCTTTCAAGTATTTAATTGCTGTAGTGTGACGAATAGGCAAAATCTGGTACTGAGAACAGGGCTGAAATATCTGGATATCAGAGTAATTGGATCTCCGTTCTATTTTTTCCAACCACTAGGTAACTACTATGGCTATTTACAGTGAATTGGATATAGCAGTATTAGCCCGAAAGAGAATTGTCGTCTATGCACAGAGCATGTCTCTTCTACAACACTTTTGCCAACTATTGTTGTTTTCCTTTGGGGTCGGTGTTAAAGTAGGGCCCTATTTAATTAGTCTTGTTTGTTTTATGTCAAATAAAGAGCAAAGATTTTATTAACAGCCTGCTGTTTTACTGATTCTACACAGTGTAGAACTTAGTGGTGCCTTTCTAGAAAATGATAATGAAATTTTAATCTTAACTGAAATGTGATTGTTGTTCTACAAACTGAGGAGAGAAAGGAAAATGTAGGGAAAGATGCAAAGTTATGCTCTCCCATAGTTTCTAGGCTACTAGATTGAGGTCTTTAGTTCTAGTCAGTGCCTAAGGTACTGTCCAGTCCTCTGTAGCCTTTTTAAGTGAAACAGTAGATCTTAACTCACTTCTGTGTGGATAAACGACCACTGAAAAATTCAACTTGACAGTTTATGTTTATTGCTTCCCATGGTTGCTGTTTCCGTTAAGACCAAAGACCAAGAAGATATTGAAACTAAAACAATTTCCTCAGTCACTGAGTGAAAGACACTCATGCAGATGAAGGTGAGGGACTCTTGAGAGAAATGCTGCTGCTTACCAGTATGTGGACAACCACAATAAATCATTGTGCTTAGCTGCCATAAAAACAATATCAACTTCCAAACATAAGTTTGGAATGGGGGTAGGTGAATGAAAATCTACTCACAAAATCAGATGTTTTACCTAGGAAAGTGATACCTCCTGGTGAAAATTACGGTCAATTAACTTAATTGGAAACCTTAAAAAAGAAAATTCTGAATAGAATTCTGAATGGGATTTCTGGACTTGATAAAAAAGAATAAGATAGAGAATCAAGGCTACTCTAACAGAAACAAGAAAGCATATGTTTTCTGCACCAAAGTGTTCACTGGTGTTGCCAGAAGGAAATCTTGTCAGTTCAGACTTCCATGCAATGTCATATTTTTTTTAATTACTGGGACTACCTCCTCACAGACCCTGAAATGTTATAATGTCTTTTGGTAGATCAAGTATGATTTTTATAATGTCAAGAGACCCTGAATATTTGTATCCCTTTAAATGATAATTCTGCTACCAAATGTATCGTAGAGTTATGCATGCAAAAGATTTTGCATGTTTTCCTGTCTTCGAGTGTAGACTGCAGCAATAGCCCCAGTGGATTTCAGTCTCTTTCCCTTAATATTCCCTTCATGCACAGCTTTGTGGAATTTGACAACTGTACAATATTTATCCTCTTGCCAGACAAGTCCCTGAAGTATCTACATTGCCATAAGTATAAAATCTTTCTTAGCTAAGTAAATAGCAACAAGGACACTTTTAATTTGCATAAAAATTAATTCTCAATTTGGAAAATGATAACAATTTTTTTTTTTTTTTTGGTAATAAATATATATGTAGGTTGCTCCAAAAGTAATGACTCCTAGTTAGTTATGGAAACTAACAATTACAAAAGTATTTGATAGAACAAATTCTCAAAATAGCTAGAAAATACTATTTTTCAACATAATCACCATCATTAGCTGTACATCTTCCATCAGTGATGAACAAGAGCCTGCATGTCATGCTAATAAATATCTGCATGGTCATCCTGAACATGACTTGTCTTACATGGCACTGTTGCCACTGCTAAAACATGCCATCCACCATCCTGTGGCGCTCACACCACTTCTTGGTCTCCATAAATTCATCATCATCAATGAATGCCAATGGGTGCCATTTTTTTCCACGAGGGAATTCAGTGATATGCATTGCTTCATATGCACTTCCATGTCAGATGCCATTTGTCAGAACGTCCCCCTGCTGCCATCTGTCACACGGTAACATTGTGTAATGGAAAATTGGTGGGAAGGGTCAACTTCTACTACCCTACCACCATCTTCCTCTGATACTGTGGTCCAACATAATAAAATGAGACATTACTTTCAGAGGAGCCCCCATAGTTTAAAAGCAAGGAAAACAATATGTATTAGATAAGTTTTCCAATTAATTGTGATTACTAGGGAACACACAATTTTACCAAGTGGAAAATTATCTATGACCCAAATAAATATTACTTAGGTGATAGCTTTTACAGTATTGCACTAAGTATCAGATTGTTTGTCATACTTAACACCTGGAGCTGCCATGGTGAAAGTGCATACAGTGCAAATGGTATTTAGAAGCTGAGAGTAGTTTCGTTATTAACGAAGCCCATACAAATAATATTCAATTTGTCAGGCTTTCAAACAAAACAAACCCAAACAAGTTTGAACATTTTTTATCTGATGAAGAATCAGTGTGTGCAACACAAAATAGATGTGTAATTATAGAATGTCATGCACACAAAGAATATATTTTTCTTAGATGTACTGAAATGAAAAGCAAATTGTACATGATCAACACATGCAATGAATTTTATTATATTTCAAGAGATCTTTAGGCTCCTTTTCACTGCATTCTTAAAGTGGTAATTTTAATGTGTATGTCTGTTTGAGAATGGATGGACTAAAGGAGATTACTTGATAGGATAAACTGAAGAGGTTTATTTTGCTTTTCTTTCCTCTAATACCTGGTCATATCTTAGGTTTTAATGAAAGAAATATATTTTTATCCTCTTGACTAATGTACTATACAAATGTGATTAACAGAAAGGTAAATGAGGCTCTGGAAGTGAATAGCTATGGAAATTATGATTGGATTTTCTCCCTAAAATGGCTGTCAGACTGTACTCTGCACAATTGTACACAAATGTACTCTATTTGCACAATTACTATTGTGAGTTTTGTATCTGACAATTCCACTTGATTTTGGGACAACACAGACATAAAGATATGCCTTTTGGAAAGCAGCTCTTTGCAAAGCTTTTTACTACTGATTTCAAAGAGGGAGAAGGATATATATCAGATGATACTTTCAACAGGATATAGAAAATTTTGGTAAGGGCTATTCTAATATGGTTATGATTTCGTATCCATGTATTGAAAAAGAATATTTATCCTGTCCCACTCTTGCCTGTCAGCACGTATCGTCAGCCCTTTCCAGTTCATCTAAGTTCTAAAAAACAGAAAATAAATTCCTTGTCTTATAATGATTTAGGAATGCAAGTAAATGTAGAATGGCATAGCAATATCTTCTGTGAGCAATCTCACAAAGGCAAAATCAAGCTAATCCTGTTTGTAAAATATAAAATAAAAATTTTAAAAAATTAGTGCCTGACTTCATTGTGGAATTTCTTTGACGCTTTATAATATTTTATTATTTTAACACTGATTTAATAGTGGTTAAGTGGTTCTTAATTTTAATATATTTCACAAATTATTCTTGCTTTCTCTTCTTTCTGTTCAGCTTTATTTTATTTTATTTTATTTTATTTTATTTTATTTTATTTTATTTTATTTTATGATCAGCTGAAGTCTGCCATTTGTAGGAAAAAAAAAGTACTCTTTAGGAAAACATTTAGGAAATGTTTCAGGCTTGTGTGATTCTGAAGATGGCAAATATTTACTCATTAAACAATTTTATTTTTCTTCCTACTTCATCATTTAGATATTAAGTTTTGATTCCATTACGACTGCATGAATATTTGTCTGGATATAAGCCCAGTATGTCCTACTCCAAATTCTCGCTTTGAACAGACCTTATTTTTATCAATGTGATGTCTGTTTCTAGAAGAAATGCAATTATGGAAGAATACTTCCATAATCTACTTATTCCTGAGTATATATAAAAATTTAATTATATTAAATTATCTTTACTTTTGTATGAGAAATGACTTTCTCAGTGATTAGAAATTCCCTTCAACGTAGAAATTCTAAAATATACTGAAGGAACTGCATAACACATTTATATTTAAAATGTTGGGAAAAAAACTACAAGTTAAATTGTATTTATAGGGCATGTTCTTGAATCATATGATGTTTTAACCTTATAGTTTAAAAAAAAAAAAGAAAGTTTTCCTTCTTACTGGATTTTGTGTATTGGACTTTGTCAGATGAAGATAAGTATGCTAAGAACCTTCACGCTAAGACATGCCTTGCTAATCTTTTTCCATTAAAAGGTTTATTAAGTCAAGCCAAATTAAAAAACAAACAGACAAATCACTAACAACAGAAAAAAAAAAAACAAACATACATATGCATACAATTTGATATAGTATGTATGTATAGTATGATTTATTTATAAAGCCAATTAGAAGAAATGAATTCAGCTGACAAGTTTTATAATGTAAAGTTATCTTTTCTTAATTGTACTTACATTTGAAACATTAACTTAAACCAAACAGGTTTGCACTACTTTATCATACTATTATTTGATCACATCAAATTGTTTTAATCATAGGGTAATGTATAATTTGTGTGCATATTTTTCCAAATTGTTTTTGTTCATTTTAATTTTAATAACAGTTGACAGCTCATATCTACTTTGTGCAAGGAGGTGGAAAATAATATATATGTTCATTACTATTCAGATATCAAAATATGTACTGAGAAAGTAAAAGCATTCAGAGATAAGGACACTTCAACATCCATCTTATTTGTGAAAAAGAAATTAATGCTTATAGAAACATATTTTCTACATCAAAATCATTTGAATCATGTAAGAAGAGTTGGATTTAAATTGCTTTCTGTTCCGTCAGGAAGATCATCAGATGCCTCACTGCTAGCATGAAGGCTTAACCTCTGTGTTCTGAAATCTTCACCTTCTCTACATTTCTTTTCAACATTAGTGAAACAAGTTATCTTATACAACGTGTAAAAGCATGCAAATTCTTATCACTCTGCAGTGCATAAAATATGCATGGTTACTTACTGCCTTGATGCTTTCAAAGTGTCCATCTTCTTTATCAAAATCAATTGGCTGCCCATTAAGTGTCCAATAGAAAGTGACATCTAGTGTGCTATCATGAAGGGCTTTGCAACTGAGGACGATGCTTTCTCCAACCGTTAACTCTATCTTCTTGGGAGTCAGCTCTATTCTTGTAGGTTCTTGAAATATAGAAGGATTAAGAACATTTAGTTGGAAGTCTAGTTATAGAAAGACATCAATATAATATCTTTGAGTTCTTTATTCCCATGCAGAAAGGAGTAAGGGCTAAATGAGTTCACCAAACTAGTACATGTTAAAAGGGGTATTGATTTTTAGTTTCTCTGTTTTCTTCTGTTTTATTTATAGAATTATTTATGATCCAGTTGATTTAATAGTTATACAAATTCTGCTGACACACAGCTAAAATTTAAAAGCTGAAGTGTGCAATTTCATACAGTGTTTGATCAAAGAGAGGTTAACCTGATACTTTATTTTAAATGGTCTCTTATTCTGTTTGTACAGTGTTGCATGCTTGGCTGGAGATTGCAAGCAATAAAGAAACATTAACAATGGGAAATCATCAATAACATTAAAGTATTTTTTTCATACCTTTAACAGATACTGATGCAACAATTTCTGCAGACCCAAATACATTTACACCTTGGCATGAATACCGTCCTTCATCAGACTTGGAAGCATTCAGAATTCGCAAGCTTCCTTGTGGAAGAATAGTTATCCTGAAAAGGAAAAATATATGAATATAACTCCAGTCCTAGCAGACAAATTCCATGATGATTTTTAGAATTAATAAATAGGATTGAAGACTGCTGCTTCCATAACTACGGATGGTGAAGATGATAATTTAATTCTCCTCTGCTTCAAAAGAGCTTCAATATACCCATTTTACTCCTTCTCAACCTTTAATCAATAAGTTGCAGGGAAGCATCAGTGAGTTAGTGTCCTCTGACACTTATCAGTAGTGAATTCTAATGAATCTTTTTGTCTTTAAAGTTTCACTTCTATATTATTGTCCAATCAAATTTCAATATGCAGCACAAGCTATTTCATTCAGAAAAAAGAAAAAAAAATGACCTTCAAAGTCAGATCTGAGAAGAATGAGAAGTAAAATGTAAAAGGGAACTGGAAAAAGAAAGAAAGAAAGAAAGAAAGAAACCCATAATATTAATTGTATCTGGTCAAAATCTGATTTATGATATTACTTCACAGTGTAACATAGGCACTTGTTTTTTTGTAGCTCAGCTTTTTTTTCTTTTGCAGGTCGAATCTTGTGTGATTTCAGTTCCGCTACATCTCTATGTGAGTAGCACTGCTGAAGTATACTCATCAAAAATGTTCATCTGTTACATTTAGAAGTTTCAAATTCAGTCTTTGCTTACACTATAGTAGTCATAAAGAACATGAAGATAAACAAAAGTGAAAATAAATGTGTTTCAGCTTTTCTAAAAAATTTGTTTTTATGATAAAGCTGCAGCCCTGGGAGAATAGTATAAAAACAATTGCCTCTCTTCTGCCAGGAGAGAGCTGTTAGGGTAAGTGCTACCTCTAACATGGTGTGTAAGCCAAACCCTGCTTGGAGATATTGCACATTCATTCCAGACTGGGTGGTGGTTAGGGAAGGCCCTCTGAAGGACATGAGAACTGAGGGTTGAAACTCTTCAGCCATCATGGACGCTGAAGCCAAATAATCCTTAGCAAGTACATGCAAATATCACATAGAAATGGATGAGTTGAAATGCTTCCTTCTCCTGTATTTTGAAAGTAAGGTAAGATCTATTTCTGTATTAGAGAAAGTATCTATGGAGGTGGGTGCCACCCATGCTTGGATTTATACCTCTCCAGTGAAGGCTTCCTGTCTGTTGAAGCAGTGACAAAAACTCCTGCTGGGAATACTGACTTGAGGCTAATGGTCACGTATCATGGAGAGTATGGTGTCATTGTTTATTCTTTGTTTCAACAGAAGTAAAGAAGTGTTCTCACTCTTGTTAATATTAACAAGTCTGAGTTGATCTCTTCAGCAACCAACCAAGGTAAAGAATTCCCTTTGTAGGTGGGACAACTTAAAGTGCAAAATTCATTCAACTTCCATTAAATTGAGAGTGATTCAATAATGTATTCAAGCCAAACTGCCAATATAAGACTGTGCATCTTTTTTTGTTGTTAGAAAAAAAATAAAATAAAATACCCTATAGTCTGACTGTGATAAACAGTGTTTTATTATATTAAGTTTATAGAAATAGTAATGGAAAGAACATAATTCCATTCTAAGGAAAATTGTACTCCATTTCAGATGTAAAACCAGTACTACTCTCGGCAGAGAGATAGAAGAAAATAATAGCTTAATAGATTCAAAGATGAATGGGACAGAGGAAGGACATGTCAACAGCAAAATTCCCCAGTGTAATATAATGATACATCTCCCTTCTTTTTCTAAACAAATATGTATCAGTATTCAAATCATATCATTTATCTAAAGCTAATTTTAAACAAAGCATAATTATATTAGAAAATGTTTTTTTTTTTAATCAGAGTTCAGGGTTGAGCTTCTTCTTCTTCTTCTTCTTCTTCTTCTTCTTCTTTTTTTTTTTTTCTTTTTTTGTTTTGTTTTCTTTTGTTTCTCCATTAGGAAGGCTCAAAATTTTGTTGTGTCACGTCTATAACTTGTTTTACATCTGAAGTAAAAAGGAGTGCGTGTTTCACTAGAATGAAATTTGATTTGGGAAACTATTGGGATATAAGCTTCCTTCATTTTCTCCTGAAGTAAGTAGGCTTTTGTGTATTTCTTCTTAAGACACTCTGTGGTCACTCTGAAGACACTGTATTATTAGTATGATGATAGCCTTTGCAGAACAGTAATTGTTTCCATCAGTATACTGTCAGCACCAAACAAATGAACTGACACTCCTATAAGGTTTGCAATTATAAAATCTTATACACAGCATAAGTCTTGATATAAAACTATTTTTTGTTCTGATCTTGGAGGAAAATAAAGTTAGATGAATATGGAAAATTATCTAATGAGTCTTATGTGTAATATCAGTTAAATTTCTATTTAGCTAAAAGCACTTGCTATCCACGAGAAAAAGAGTAATTGCTCAGTCAAAGGAACTGCAAACATATATGCTGGTGAATTATTTGACTCAGAAATTTACTTTCCTTAAAATGCTTAGCATTAATTTGCTTTCCATCTTTTTTGTGTGTTTGGGAAAAGGCCAGAGGCTTGTTGTGATGAAAACTGAAATGCTTTATTTATTCATATAACACTTTCTACACACAGCAGGAACACAGGCTTCTCCTCCTTCCCTGTCAATACTTCTGTCATGGAGAGACCACCTGTGGAGTGTGTCAACATATTTTAATAAGAAAATTCCATAGCAAAAGGCTTTTTAGTATCATAAATAAAAGAGTAACAAAGACAGAAGAAATGAAGTTGGGGTAGAGTTAAGGATAATTGAACACTTCAGGAAAAAAAGCTAAATTATTAACTCATTAGAAAATTAGGAAAAGATTATGATTATAGATGAGAATATAGAGATTGGATGGATGAGAGATAAGTATTATAGTGTCATGGTTTTATTATTTTTAATTATTTATTATTGAGATTATCTAAATTTAAGCAAAAGTCATTGTAACCGTTTAAAGGAGATAGATACTATTCATCCGAGGTCTCTGAAAAAATTAGCATGAGCTTACTGTAAAAAAGAGCTTTTGTCTACCTAACAGTAGGGAGAAAAAAAAAAAAAAAGTTGAAGTCTTGGAATCAATAATTGTGTTGGTTTAACATCAATAGCAACTAAGATTTTTAGCAGGAATATTGGTAAAAAGTATTATCAGAATATGGCAGCAAATGGACAGGAGATAAATTCAATAAAATTTAGCTAACATACTCTTGGCATTACTGGATGAACATAATGCTTAACATATAAAATATTTTCTCGAGAAAATAAATGCAAATTTCTTCTTTCAAGGATTCAAAGATGAGGCTGCTGAAATTCAGTTGTTTCAACAGGTTTAATACAGAAATTTAAAATGATTAAGGAATTGGCTGAACACTGACTACACTTAGATATCTCAACCTGGAACCAAATTTCACCTTCAAATCTTGAGTTAGTTCTCCAGACATAAGCTCCTACTATAGACTAATGCCACTTAAGGCACGAAATTCCAACTGCTGTTTTCATCAGTGGTGTGGTTCAGAAGTGCATTCTCTCATTGTTCCACCTTATTCTAGCTTTGTCTTATAACACAAAACAGTATATGAGCACATTCACTAAACTTTTTTTCAGTTGAAAGTGGTAGGGATTCTTGAGGAGTGCATCAACTTTCAGCCACACATATGGAAGATAGTAAGGGATTAGAGCTACTGTGGAGAGCAATCCTGAATTAGGCAGTATAGACAGTATTAACATAGTGCTCTAAAGGTCCACACTACTCACACATACAGAAATAGCCTAAAAATATCCAAGACAACTTCACTGGCATAAGGAATAAGCCTGGACAATGTCCCAAGAGAAAATTAAGCCAAAAGAGGAGCTAGATATCCCTTTCCTTAATTTGACTGCAGTCTTTGCCACCCCTGGAAGGGTCCAGAATGATGCCCAAGAAACAGTTAAGTTATGGAAGGGGGTCTTGTGTTCCCTCCTTTGAATTGGCTGGTGTCCATTTTATCAACCAATTCCAAATAGGGACTATTTTCAAATAAATTCCAAATAGGACTATTCCTTCCCTTTTTGCTCTCATCACCCTCTTTTGCTTCACAGGCAGGACATGATAATATGCTGATGAATGTGACACAAAACCTGTGAGGACTTAATCATTTACTGCACAAATATAGAGGCTTGTGTGCATGCATACTTTCGAGGTCTGAATGTGAGCAGGAGTACTGAAGAAGCTCTCAAATGTTAGCAGCATTTTGGATCAGGGTCAGGTGGGGGAAGGAGCTGACTAGAGACCATAGTATAATGTTAGAGGCAGTTTGAAGAATTAAGGCATATAGGTTGTGTTGCTGATGGTGGTGGTGAGCTGTAATGCGATGATGGTCTTTGACATTAAATGCCTCAAAAATCAATTAAACACATGAGTTATTGTATATTGTTGTCATGTTTTTATGCTGTTTGGTTTTCAGTATTCCACATCATAACATCATGTAGTGCACTGGGAGTTAAAGTGTTAATGCTCCAATTCCAGGTACCTATCCCTATACATTATGGAAGTCATGGGATCTGGCCCTTCCGGGTGGGGCGGTCTCTTACTGCCTGGCAGTGGGTGCTGGAGGGTGCTTTCCTAAGCCATTCCAAGCTTTTAAGTTTTGTCTTGGTCTCAGGAACCCTCTCTCTCCTATCTTATCTCAATTTCAATTACATTGTATTATATTGTGTTATCTTGCATTCCAATATCATAGTTAGTAAAATAAATTTTCCTCCATAGATTGTTGCCGCTGTTTTTTTTCCTTCCTTCCTTCCTTCCTTCCTTCCTTCCTTCCTTCCTTCCTTCCTTCCTTCCTTCCTTCCTTCCAGGTAGTGGGGTTCCAGGGTAGTGGGGGTTGGCAGGGGCCTACTGCCCCCCTGTCACGGACATAGACTGATCTAGTTAATTCTGTGATAATTGTATACCTATGAAGCTAAAAAAATTCAATAGATAATGAAAAGAGTTAAACTGAAATTGAATGTGAATTTCAAAATGCATCTGATACCTGTGTACATTGTACTTTTCCATTGTG